ACGCGTTTTCGCATATACGCGGTGCCTTGCCAAAGCTGAACTTTCACTTAACGCGGCATTTTTCATCATATACGCGGTGAGTGTCCGGCTCGAGAGCTATTTTTAGATTCGCACCACCCCCCACCCGCCACCCTGCCTGACTGCCTGTTTTAGCTCATAAAATTCATACAAATTACCCAGCCAGAATATAATTTACATTGCTGGAATTCTTATAATTTGGTGATCATTTTGAATATAAACAACATATATTTTGCATTAAACATACAATTTTTAGATAAAAATTGTTCTCTAGGTAATTATGTTATCTTTTGTCCAAAATATATGACATTTATATTCAAAATATTCCTGGTCTTACAAGGAATCCAGCAATGTCAATTATATTATCCTAACTTTAGTTTGAGGTATTATTTATTAAAATTTAGTGGTTATCCCACACATCTCCTTGGGACGGTTGGTGGGGGGTGGGGGGGAGGGAGGGACCGACCCGACCATCTGTTACCCGGTGAAGAATTATTTTTTTTTTATTAACTGAAGATATTTGTTTTAGCTCATAAAATTCATACAAATTACCCGGTCAGAATATAATTTACATTGCTGGAATTCTTATAATTTGGTGATCATTTTGAATATAAACAACATATATTTTGCATTAAACATACAATTTTTAGATAAAAATTGTTCTCTAGGTAATTATGTTATCTTTTGTCCAAAATATATGACATTTATATTCAAAATATTCCTGGTCTTACAAGGAATCCAGCAATGTCAATTATATTATCCTAACTTTAATCTGAGGTATTATTTAATACTAAATGTTAAAAACTCTTGAATGGAGGATTGGTGGGGGGTGGGGGGAGGGTTGGGACTGACCACACGGTTGGAAGAGGGGGGGAAGGCAAGGTGGGGTACTTTGATTGACAGATAGTGTCGAAGAATATTTTTTTTTTTTTATTAACTGAAGATATTTGTTTTAGCTCATAAAATTCATACAAATTATCCGACCAGAATATAATTTACATTGCTGGAATTCTTACAATTTGCTGATCATTTTGAATATAAACATCATTGATTTTGCATTAGACATACAAATTTTAGATGTAAAGTTTATTCTGAGTAAATATGTTATCTTTTGTGAAAAATATATGACATTTATATTCAAAATATTCCTGGTCTTACAAGGAATCCAGCAATGTCAATTATATTATCCTAACTTTAGTTTGAGGAATTATTTATTACTATACCTGGTTTTCCCCCAAAAATTTCTCAGAGGGAAGAGCCAGTGAGTGTAGTGTGAGAAGAGGGGGAGGGAGTTGAGTCCATTATTTGAATGGACATTAACTTGGCGACTGTATTTCTCTATTTCTCTTAAGTATTAATTGTGTGCATGTACCATCATAAAATTAAGATGTTATTTTTACTACAACATAGTTATTTGTCGTCAAAAAGTGGAGTTTGGGGGTCAGGCTGGGTTCTATTGGAATTAATCCCATATGTTCTGTTATTCACTTAACGGTTTTCACTTAACGCGGGACCCTCTGGGTTCAATTGACCGCGTTAAGTGGGGTACAACTGTATACTATTTTCTCCCAATCGCTTCTCTGGTTGGGAGGGGGGGGTTGGGGGTAGGAAGGGAGGGAGGGCGAAGGTGGGGTATTTTGATTGACAGATAGTGTCCTTGAAGAATATTTCTTTGTTTATTTACTGAAGATATTTGTTTTAGCTCATAAAATTCATACAAATTACCCGGCCAGAATATAATTTACATTGCTGGAATTCTTACAATATGATGATCATTTTGAATATAAACATCATGGATTTTGCATTAGACATACAAATTTTAGTTCTAATGTAATAATTTGGTTTACACAAAGCAAATATTTTATCTTTTGTGCAAAATATATGAAGTTTACATTCAAAATATTCCCTGACCTGCAAGGAATCCAGAAATGTCAATTATATTATCCTAACTTTAGTCTGAGGTATTATTTATTACTAAATGTTAAAATCTAGTGGTTTCACCCAAACATTTCTCAGAGAGGTAGGAGCTAGTGAGCTGGGAAGAGGGGGGGGGATTTGAGTCCATTATTTGAATGGACATTAACCTGGCGACTGTATTTCTCTTAAATATTAATTGTGTGAGCATACCATCACAAAATTTAGATGTTATTTTTGCTACAACATAGGTATTGTGTCGGAAAAAGTGGAGTTTGGGGGTCGGGCCAGTTTCTATTGGAATTAATCCCATATGTTCTGTTGTTCACTTTACGAGGTTTTCACTTTCCATGGTACCCTGTGGGTTCAATTGACCGCGTACATTGGGGTACTACTGTATAGCATTAATTTAATAATCTTTTGCGTATTTAGGTTAATTTAACAAAAAAGGGGCTCTGGGTTACTTGAATTACCGAAAAATCCAGTTCTTGAGAGATGGCGAGTGCTGGCAACAATTTTAGAGAAAGTAGGAATGATCAGCTGATACTGGTCTGTACTGTAATTTAAAGACCACAATACCTCATCTGGGGTAGAGTGTTTGATTTTTTGGGAAAATTAATAATTTTTCGACTAGGTTTTATTTACCCGGCACCAAAGGAACCTGAATAAGATGGGAATTATGGTGAAATTGCATACCTGTACTGTCATTATAAAGGGAGCGTGGGGTGGTGAGTTGTCCTCCCTCTTCTGCCACCTCCTGTCCCCGGCTGCACACTGACTGTAGTTTTGTAGTTTTGTACAGTATCTTAATTAAATTCATTTCTATTCCTATAATTCATTCATCTTAACACTCATGTGCTCAGACAATCATAAGTGGCATTTTGATTTTATGTAGATGAAACTTTTGCCTCGCAATCAGACGTCAGTATGGCGGTTTTTTTACTCCAAAGGTTTCTGGTCGGATTACTTAAAATTTTAATGCCACTTTTGTCATGCCACTCTCCTATATGGAACCAAGTCTTAAGTGGAGGCAACAACCCGTCTAGGTGCAGTAGGTCAAGTGTTATTGTGCCACAGTTGCCAGTGTGCATCTGGCTCCCAAAGCGGTGGGGGACCCAGGCGAGATTTAAAAAAGGTCACTGTGGTTTTATCACCCCTATCTCAATACAGGTAGTTCTGCTATAATGCGATAATTGTGTTCTTGTAAAATATCGTGTTATAGAAAATCGCGTAATAGAAATAACAGGGCTTATGGAGAAAATAGGGTTCGGTGCAGATTACTCGAAATCGAAAAAATTTAGTAGTTAGCCTAACACAAAGGATAGCACAGTCTAAATAAATGTTACATTCATATCTAATAATGAAATCATACAGTAAATGTAACACTTTACCTTGAAAAAATATGAATGTAACTTGATGGGGGAGAAGGGTGATTTTGAGGTTGATAAAATCGAGCTTCTCTTCAAGTGTTATATCCTTTCTTTTATGATCATCACCGGGAATTCTATCACCAGAACGCTTCTTGGAGATATTCTTCTTTACCATATTCACAGTTAATACCACAAAATTGGAGAAATAGTAAGCAAAAATCGCGTTATAGCAAACAAGCGTTCGCGTTATACAAATATCGTTCCTAATTCATAAATCGCGTTAGAGCAAATTTGTGTTATCAAAACACGCGTTATAGCAGAACTCACTGTATGTTTATCACTTACAATCTGGATATTTATTCTAATGAAGTGATAAAGTGATGTGTAGTGAAATATTTGTAGTGAAATAGTGAAATGTTTTTTAATTTACGAGTGAAATGGCTACTCCCAAAACAGTTGCATAAAACCACACAAATGCATGTCGTAAATAGGCTTAGCTTGGAAAAATAAAAAGTGAAATGCAGTGCAGTTTTCCTAAGCTAACCTTTATTTTTCCTAACTTAACCTTTATTTTTCCTAACCTAACCTCTTCTATATTACTTGTTTGTTCATACCATCATAAAGTTAAGATAAAATTTTTACTACAACATAGTTGTGTGTCGTCAAAAAGTGGAGTTTGGGGGTCGGGCCAGTCTCTATTGGAATTAATCCCATATGTTCTGTTGTTCACTTAACGCGGTACCCTGTGGGTTCAATTGACCGCGTAAAGCGGGGTACAACTGTACAGTATTTCAAATAAATTCTTTGTTTAGTTCTGTACATATATGCGAATTCCCATATAGAGAATGCACGCGAGGGGCCTGTGCACAGTAAACTTGTGCCATAGCACTAACACTTTGTCATAAAAAGGTCCAGTAAGCCTGATTTATGCTGATGTAAGTTGTATTGGTACCAGAAATAGTACATTTTATGCATTATTTTGCCCTTTTTTTAACCTTGGCTTTGATGGTTCGGAATTTTCGCTAATCCGGAACCGGTCTGGTCCCAAGCTTCCCAGATTAGTGAGGTCCAACCTGTATTTGTCAAAGTGGCTTTTCTTTTTCTTTTCTTTTCTTTTGAGGGTTTCATGTAATTCCCAGCCTTTCATATATAGGAAGGCGTCATTTGAATGAATATTTGACAATATCTTAGCTACGAATAGCACTGGGGGGGGGTACCTTCTCAGTGATCTCTGGTAATTCTGCAGGGTCAAAAGTGTTCCTGTGATATGCTCATTAAATATATTTCAGGTGATCCCGAGAGTATTAATCTATTACGTAATATATTCCGATAATAATAATAAACTTTTTGGAACTGCTCAGTTATTTCAGATTCATTCCGAATTCAAATCATTTAATTCATTTTTTAAAAGCATACGAATTAAGTCGAAATCCAAATTATAATGATCTGAATTGACGAGGGTACAGTTTATCTGGGATATTTAAAGTAGCAGTGGTAAAATTACACAGTGGTAGGCTAGTCCCTCCCATCTGCTTGGCATCAAGTGTGGCAGGCTTACAATGTTCCACTGTATTATACAAATATATAATTATATAGTTTTAAGGATTATTTTATTGTATATTTCAATCTTGGTAAAATATTAAATTCCTGAAAATAGATTTATGAAAACTCATGAAGTATCATATTCTCTTTCATTAGGTAATTAAATCAGAGCGTCCAGATGGTGTTCTCCTCACATTTGGAGGACAAACTGCCCTCAACTGTGGCGTGGAACTAGAGCGAGCTGGTGTGTGGGCCAAGTATGGAGTTCGAGTTCTTGGCACTCCAATCGCTTCCATTGTGCAGAGTGAAGACCGGAAGATGTTTGCAGAGGTGGTTGCCTCTGTTGGTGAGAGAGTGGCTCCCTCAGCTGCTGTATATTCTGTAGGGGAGGTATGAAAGTTTATAGTTGTTACAACATTTGTTAAGAGTGTTATGCCATAACTTAGCAACTTAAGGTTAAGTTAAAGTTGAATATAATAATGAAGGCACATATGGCACAACAAAAGACAGATTGGCAACTCAGCACAGCTTAGTCCTGAATATTTATCACTTAAAATTTATTACTTCAATAAACAACAATGTTAAATACAAAAGTTACAAACACAAATAAGGACGAATTTGTGCATCATGGGTTCAATCACAGCCCTCTTACTTTATCACAACAGTTCAGGATTGAAGGTTTGGAATTATACACGACACAAAATATTTAATTAAAATTTAATAACAAAAGTTTACAATAATAAATGTGCATGTTAAATAATGGATGGATAAATTAGTTCAAGAGAATAAATAATATATATGATTATTTGACTGGAAATATTTAGCATAGGACAAACCATCGTAGGTAATGACTCCTTACCAAGTTAAACTGCACTTGGTTTTCCATCCTTAATAAACAATTAATATGTACACAGTATATAAACCAAAAACCACAATATGACACAATAATTGATTGCACTTTACACGCAGTAAATAATAATAGAGCAGCACTGAATATATAATACATAACTAAACCATATTAGAGAAGGTGTTCACCACCGACTGACTCAGATCCTGTCAGCACCAATGCCTTCACTCCCCAAAACACACATTGTGCACTGGTGAACTCCAAGCCTGAACAATAAATATAAAACAATTATTACATTAAGTTGTAAAATAGTTAAACATACATACATTTTAGGACATAATTTTAGGTTTTAAGTATCAGCTTTGCCCACAAATAATTATATCAAACAAATATTTTACATATACAGTATTACCCTGCTTTACGCGGTTTCACTTTACGCGATTTCTCATATACGAGGTGCCTCGCCAGAACCGAACTTTCACTTTCCGCGGTTCATCTACCCATATACGCGCAGAGTGTCCGGCTCGACGATATTTTTAGATTTGCCCCTCCCGCCTCCTCCCTCCTCCTCCCTCCTCCTCCCGCCTCCGCCTCTGCAAGCCGCGCGGTAAGGTTGCGCAGTGCATGTCTCTGTTGCGTTATCACTGACATCATATGACGTATCGGACTGTGATTGGCCATTCATCCCTACCCCCCTCTGCTGCTAGCTGTAATTGGTTTAAAGTAATATGACGTGTCCACCCGAGGAGGGAGGGAGGAAAGACGACGCTTGACCTAGCCGCGGCAGTTTCATCCCTCCAGGCCACACCGTGTATACGTGCATCCATTGTTCTGTGAAATGGCTTCCGCCGGACCACCGACACCAGAGAGAAACCTTTCCTTACCTGGACCCAGCCGCCCTAAGCCAAAGAAGATACGCCGTTCCCTAAGCTACGAAGTGAAATACCAGATCATTCAAGATTTGGAGAAAGGAACACGTCAAGCTGATTTCGCACTCCAGCATGGAGTGAATGAATCTACGATTCGTACTATTAAGAATGATGCAGCCAAGATCAAAGAGCACATGACAATCACAAAGTCTGCAGGTGCTTCAATGATCAAGTATTCCCAGAACAAGGTGCTGCTAAAGGTGGAAAATTTGCTGGTGAGTTACTTCATTCGTCAGGCGCGACGCAACATGGCGGTGGACACGCGATCCGTTCAAGAGTACGCACGTGAACTGTACGCAGCAGTGTCACGTAAGATGGGAATTGCAGAGCCCAAACCCTTCAATGCTTCCTCTGGTTGGTTGCATAGGTTTAAGAAGAGGAACAATATCACCAACATCAACATTGGTGGTGAAGAAGCGAGTGCTGACCGTGTGGCGGCTAGAGATTTTCTTCCGTTCTTACGTGAGGTTATGGAGGAAGGGCAGTTCACTGACGACCAGGTGTTCAACATGGACGAATCCGGCCTTTTTTGGAAAAAGCTGCCTTCGTTGTCAGTCGGGGTCGGAAGTTGCAGAAGGAGCGCATCACCGCCCTCTTTACCACCAATGCCTCCGGTACCTGTAAACCAAAGTTATCGGTGATTCACACAGCCCGCAAGCCGCACGCCTACAAGAATATGGACATGAACAAGCTTAATGTCCACTGGCTAACCGCACGTAAGGCGTGGATGTTCTCTGCTCTGTCCCTCTCCTGGTTTGACGACTGTTTCGTTCCAGACGTGAAGAAATTCTGTGAGCAACAGAATGTTCCATTCAACATTTTGTTGCTCCTTGACAACGCACCAGGACACTTGCCCCTACTTACGGATCGTCACCCCAACGTAAAAGTGGTCTTCCTTCCTCCCAACACTACGTCATTAATCCAGCCCATGGACCAGGAGTTAATCTGCAATGTTAAAGCTGCATACTCGGGAAAGAAATTCAAGCTCCTAAACGACTCTACCAACACCAAGGATGAGTTGCGTAAGCTGGGTGACACCGACATCGAGAGTAAAAGCGACGAGGACAAGGAACAAGAGGTGGTGACTCAAGAAGTTCTCGTCAAACAGTTTTGGAAGAAATTTAACGTCAAACAAGCTGTAGATTTCTTGGTGGAGGAATGGGATTAGCTGTCTATTGCTACAATTCGTCATCACGCATGGAGGCATGTGTTGCATGGCATACCAGGTGAGAGGCGGAGTCAACCTGTGACTGGTGAGGTTCAGTCTGTGACAGTGGCATTGGACCTTGCAAGAGAAGCTGCGCACAGTATTGCAGCTGAAGGCTTCTCCGAGACCACCAACGAAGACATCCTGGAGGTGATCAGAGATCCTGAAATGACTGCCGACGAGATGTTGGAAGATGATCACGTCAGTGAAGAGAAAGATGGTGCGTCAATCTCCGAAGAACACAAGTTAACGCATAATCATATTAGGGTGCCATCGAGTGTGCAGAAAAATTGAAGCTCTTCCTTTCCAACGACAATGACGATGACCGCTATGAAGTCTTCCATACTCGGCTGGTGCAGGCTATGGAGCCGTACATCAAGGTGTATCAAGACAACATCAACACTAGCCGTCAAAAAAGCATTACCAAGTTCTTCGCCCGCAACCCACCACAGCCAGCCAGAGCCAGTGATAGTGACAGTGACAGTGAAGGTGACTATGAGGGAGTTGTCAGGGAAGCCCTGACAACTGTAACTGATAGTGATGGTGATGCACCTAGAAATGGTGATTCACCTGAGGGCCAGTAATCTGCCCTCTGCCTCGGAACCAGCCTCCATCCCCGTATGGCGACCCATCTCTTCTACTAACGTAAGTGTTACACCTAACTTTTAGTTTTCCTAACCTAACCTTTATTTTTCCTAACTTAACCTTTATTTTTCCTAACCTAACCTCTTCTATAATACTTGTTTGTGCATACCATCATAAAGTTAAGATAAAATTTTTACTACAACATAGTTGTGTGTCGTCAAAAAGTGGAGTTTGGGGGTCGGGCCAGTCTCTATTGGAATTAATCCCATATGTTCTGTTGTTCCATTTACGCGGATTTCACTTTCCGCGGTACCCTGTGGGTTCAATTGACCGCGTAAATCGGGGTACTACTGTACTCCACCTTGACACGTAGTCATCCTGTCACCAACGCCACCACCACACGGAAGGGGAGGCTAAAGAGCATTTTCCAAACTAGTGTAGGGAAATGCTTGTTAAATACACAAGTCAAATATACAATTAAATGCAATAAAATAATAATTGGAAAATTTGTGGGTCAGCGTTCCAGACCCGGAAATGAAAATCTGATAAAATGTGCTATTTTCACACTTATTTATGAAGTTCATAAGCTGAAATAGCAATACTTGCTGATACGACGGTGCTAGCTCAGACATGCACCGATCTCCAAGAAAATTTGCAGGGGTGTTTCCTAGATAAATACTCAACACTAAAACTTTGAACAGCATTTTAGGACCATTTTTTTATTTTTGGAGGGCAACGGTCACACCCTAATATATATATATATATATATATATATATATATATATATATATATATATATATATATATATATATATATATATATATATATATATATATATATATATATATATATATATATATATATATATACCGTGGAAAAAAAGTAAAATATCATGGTAAGGCAATAAAAAATGAAAATAACGCTCACCCACCCCTCTTAGTACAGTGGGGTATGCTATAACGAACGTAATTGGTTCCAGAACCTCGTTCGTTATAGCATTCGTTCGTTATAGGATTAATCCGTTCCAGGCCCCCAAATACAACCGCTTAACACTGAAAAAATTCTGTGGAAAATGTAAAAAATACGGTACTTTATCTTACCTTAGTGTTATTCAGCATGCAGGTACCCCTAAACACTGGCACATCACTATCACTTCCACTGGGAGTCTTGGCTTTAAGGTCCTCAAACAATTGTCTGGCCTTCTCACAAATTATAGCTTCACTAATGTTACCACCTGCCATTTCTTTCTCCTTTATCCACACTAAGAGTAAATTTTCCATCTCTTCAATCACATTACACTTTGCTTTGCTAAGTCTAAAGATTCCCTTAGCCACTTGCACAGTTTTTAACTCTTCTTTATTCTTCAAAATCGTACATATAGTCGATTTAGCCATCCCATATTCATCACTAAGTTTCGCAATGCTTCTTCCATTCTCACGTTTCTTTATAATTTCTTTCTTAGTTTCAAGGGTTATTAGCTTTCTCACTCGCCTTGGACGACTCATTCTTACAATTGTATACTTGTATAACAAAATAGTTATACAAATAACGCGAATTTCCACATCAAAAGACGAAATTTCAACAATAACAGTGGTGCACTGGCTACACAATGAGACAAAGATGGCGCCTGACGCTCTTGTTGTGGGTCGCGGTACAACAATATTCATGCGGCAGGCGAAATAGTCCCATATTCATCCGCGTTCGTTGTAGGAGTTGCGTTCGTTATAGCATTCTCAATTTTATAGGTAAACCGTTCGTTATAGGAATATTCGTAGTTGGATCCGTTCGTTATAGCATACCCCACTGTATATATATATATAT